GGAAGCGAATGCTGGCGTCGGGCAGAACCTTCCGACTCGCACACAGCGCGGCCTCTGCATTAGCTAGGACTCGAGATAGGGTAGCTTGAGGGACACCAAAAAGTTCGCACAGCGTCTTGTTCTCTATGGCTGCTGTATAGAAGTGCAATATACAAGCTAACACAGCGTGCTTAGAAATGAACTTTGGGGGCCGCCCTGGCTTGCCCACGCCGCTTTTAACTACGTAATGCACGCTAAACACCTGTAGCAAGCAATCAAATGCCTCATGATCAAGGGAGACAACTGATATAAAGCTCCCACGATCTCGACTAGCATACAACGTGTGCCAGGGCGATTTAGCAGGATCAATTAGCGCTGCAACTGTTAGAACATTACGATCAAAAGAGTACATACAACGCAGCCGTAGAATCAACATCACCTGCTTCTTTAAACGCGCATTCCGGTGCTCGCTCGCTAGCACAAGTCGCTGGGCCCTAGCCATCAAAAAGGTGAATGGCCCGCGTACATGTACCCATAACGTTAAAAGTGTTGATTTTGGTATGATAGCAGACATATCACAAATTCGACATATATTTTAACACATTTCGCTTTTAAATTTGTGTTTGTGATTGCATTTGTGTAGGTCTTGGTAGAGTTCCAATGTATGCGGGCTTGCTAGTCTGCCACTACACAAGGTATCAACCAGGTGAACGTAGAAATCGCTCACAAAGATGCGGAGCTGGTTGGTCTACGTGCCACAGCGAAGTGTAGTGCCAAGCTGCTACAGGTTTGATCTACTAAATTCGTGATCTACTGAAACTGCCGGTGTCTTGATAACGTCGCCGCATATCTGCAGAAAGCTGAGCAAGACTTTCTCATCACTCATCAGGATCTTGAGAGCACGCAGCTCAAGTTGCTGGACTGCAAACGGTGCGAACACCCAACTCGAACGTGAGTTTGTCCTAACTCGTCTGAAATTATCCCAGTAAGTTATCTGTCAAAGATCGCGAGGTCCGCATGTGGATCGAGAGATACGAACAAGTCATGATGGATCTCCACGCTTCGCAATTCCGCCTTACGCAATTGGCACGAGGTACTCAGATCAACTCTTACCGAAAAATGGAGAGGTAGAGCGTTCTAACAAGAGTCGTTGTAGACGCAAGCTCCAAGGAAGCAGCACTAACGGTAACCTCGATAAAGCGGTCTTCACAGCAGCTTCGCTAATAATTTCCGGTGTTGCAAATTTGGAATGTCGAAGTAGCGAGGGCTCGCAATAGACATCGACAATCCCGCGAATGGACTTGCAAGTCTCCGTCCTCGTCCAGTGCCTTTGATGAAGCCTGTTGGGCTACATGATCGCGCTGTTCGGAGATATCGACGAGATCAAATTTGGAATCGAGCGCACGCCAGCACAGCCAGCATTTCAAATATGCAGCCAGCCTCTTGCTTGAAACCTGTACACTCGGCTGGCTCACTTCCTCATGCCCATGCTACAGCAATACCGCCACTCGATCCGACGCCTATCGTAAGCCGCGATTGTTTCCACTGTACAGCGACGACGACGCCTGCCAAGGCAAAGAATCGGTGAGAGTTATTCAACATTGGGCTGTCTAGTTAATGGACTTACACCATTGCTTATTGCAGAACTCCCGCCATACCAAGAGACGAACGCGACTCGCCGTACGAATTGATCTTGATGCGCTGAGACGGGAAACACTTGCAAAGCTCACGTATGCTCATAATATCGTCGGTTTGTGTACAGAGAAACCCACCCAGGGTCAAAATATCTTGGCTATGGTCTGGGGCTTCTCAAGAAAAATCACATCGTTCCGGATAATAACTACAATCATAAAAAACTAGCCGAGCGCCGCCGCGTAGCGGCCGGTAGTTTAGGTTTAGCTCTACTTGCCGCCTCCGCTTCGCTTCGGCGGGATATTTATTTCAAAAGATATGAAATCCTATGTACTTTATGAATTTCATAATTCTGGGTTTAATTTAGACCAGTCGCT